CCTTCACGGCGCCGTGGGCTGGGCAAGCAGCAGCAGGAGCCAGGTCAAGGCACCCTGCCGTGGGACGGGAGATGACAGGCGGGATAAGGAAGGTCAGACAAGGCTCTCCTGAGCAGAGGCGGAATTTCCCTGCCCGGAAGAGCTGCCTGTCCTAATCTGAGGTGCGGCGACCTGTGGGCAGGCAGGGGTTACAGCAATACGGTCCCCAGCTCAACGGGACACCAGCTGAGGCCTGCAAGCTATGCTGCAAGCCAAGTAAACAACAGCAGCAATAACAGGGCTGGTTAAAACAGCGCTGAGTGTCTCTGTGTGGGCTGCAGAGGAGAAGGAAGTGTGGCTGGAGCCCGGGGTGAAAAGAGCATCTCAGCCCCACGAGCTGGTGGCATGCACGGGCGCGAGAGAGGGTGCCAGAGCCACCCTGGCACCCTCAGGGAGGACAAAACCTGCCCGAGTAAGAGGTGGAGGGGGTGACGTGGTCAGAAATTATGAGCGATGTGGCAGCATGGGTGTGGGCTGTAGAGGCTGGAGGGCACGATGTCTCAGCCAGGTGACTGAGCTGGCCACCTCCATGTCCCCACATCGGGGGCACATGTGCCCTGCACGTGCCAGGGCAAGCACCAGCCACCGGCATTTCCCACCAGCAACCAGCCAGGCTGAGAGCCAGGTTAGATGAGCACCAAGTCCCTCCTCCACTATTTATCACCTTCCTGCATCAGAGATCTGTTTGCAGCGAAGATTTTTTTTCCCCCTTTCTTTTTATTTTTGATACACTCCTTCCCTGGCATCCCTCCATCCTGCCTGGCCTAGCTTGGATTTATGGCTGATTGTTTAGTTTTGGGCCATCAGGGCCACAGCGTGAGGAAAACTTTCCATCTTGGGCTTGCACGAGTGTTGTGGAGGAAGGAAGGGATTTTTTTTTTTTTTGAATGTCCTATTGGGAAAAGACTTTCTTTTTTTACTACAACTGACATAATCCCTATCCATCTGTCCATGACATTTTGACTGTGCAAGCCAGCCAGATCTGATAGATATTAAATATATAGCTATTCCAGGGCTATTATGTTCTTACAGGTTTCATAAAGCTGGATGTCTGGGCAGAGGAGCAAGACCTGCTGATATCTCCATGCATTCCTTTTGGGCATTTTTCACCTTTAATGAAAAGTTTGCCAAAATGCAGAATTTTAGAGAGCTAATTTATTCAGAAAGTTAATTCAAAAGAAACAAAAAGTTTTCTCTGAAAAAAAAAAAAAGAGAGACAAGATGTCAAGAAGATTATAACAGTTAATTTCCGCTGTCTCAGACTGGAAACCTTCCTTTTGGAATTGCCCAAATATTGCAATTTTAAATTGCTGCCTGGTTGGCATTATATTTGATTGCAGTGTTTACTTTCATTTGATTGTTCGTGTTTATTGAAAGGGATATGGTTAAATCGAAACACAACATTTTTGAGGGAGGACCCATTTGAGGACAGCTATAATGAAATATTTTGGGTTGACCCCCAAATTACCCAGTGACGTTTGTCTCGCTCTTTTTCATAGGCTCTGCTGGAGCTTTGCTCACTTGGTAGAGACCAGGAGGGGAAGAAAAACTTTTAGAAACTCCTCTTCTTCTCACAGAAGTTGGCCACTGCAGTGGTGATGCACACCAGAACTGCTTTTGAATGTTTTACTGAACGGAGCAACTCCTGAACATTTATCCAGAGATTTGAAAGCTGAAACGGAATAGAAATGTACACTATGATCCTGCCTAATAGCCTCTGAGATCAATTCAACCAGTGATACAAATCTAAGCGTGTTTCACTAACCCAGTGCAAACTCTTGTGGTTCTGTTCCTATTTTGGTTTAAGACTGGTTGATTTGTGTTTAGCTCCTGGCATCCAGAATCTGCCTTCAGCTGGCTGGGAATGAGGTGCTCGAATGTGGCATGAAATGTACCCACGTGGTCTGGCATCATGGCTGCTCAGAGCTGGTCATGGAAAGCAATGACATGTCCTCTGGGGTTACTGCCTGTCAGCTGAGACTCTGCCTGGCTCACTGGACGTCCTGGTGACAAAGTGTTAGTTTAAGCCACCATACTTAAACCGCCACTAAACTAGAAGGACATTCCAGGGGGAGAAAGCCGTGCTTTTTCCCTGTTGTAAAGTGTGGTTGTCTCTCTGTCACTAAGCAGCACCACGTTACTGATTTGTCAGGAATCAGTGGAACGGGATGTTCCCCTCGGCACTAGATGGACCTGCCAGCTCATCCCAGGCCTTTGCATCTAGCTAGAGAGGCTTTCCGTGTCCTGATAAATGGCAGTCTAGATGAGACGCGGGTCAGCAGTCAGAGCAGGGGAGCAATTGCCTGAGGATGGTGGTGAGAGGATCTGCGGGGAGTTTAAAGCAAAGCCAGGTGCAAGCCTGGCAGCAGAGGACAGGGACACGGTGCTCTGGGCTCAGCACCACCAGTGCGTGAAGCAGAAATGAGGGCAGAGGACGGAGAAGAGGCACACATAGTTCAGAAGGCATTGAGAGAGTGATCCCCAGTAGGCTGGCTTCTGTCCTGTGCCCTCGACCATCCTTTCTTCCCAGGGGAAACTCAGCACAGCTGGGATGCTTTGGGGAGAGTGCAAGAGGGTGGTTTGCATGCTCAGCATTTGCCAGTCACCTTTAGCTGGCCTCAGGCTGGCAGGGTGCCCTGGCAGCAGATTAATGCTTGTTCCTGCATACCCAAAGTGTAATTTTTATTTTTAATTATCTAGGCGATGAATGAGATTTGTAGAGCGTTTTCTTGGAACGAAGCTCGCTGCTTACACCTTCCTGGATATATTTCTCCAGTGCTTTGAATTGGCCTTTCTTTTCTTTCGCCCTTGCTTTCTGGGCTCTGATGTGGATGCCTGTTTTCCAGCAGCCCAGCTGGCCAGGCAGCTAATCTTGCTGCCTTTGCACACAGCACCATGGAGGGCTTCACATCCTGCCAACTGCAGGTGCTTAATTAGCTGCACTTTTGTCTGGCATCACCTGGGAACACTGGTCATTTGGAGCCGATGAGCAATGTGAGCAGAGGCGGTAATAGCAATCATTATTCAGTACAATGGGGCTCAGAAATGCTAAGCACATCAGGGACATGCTGGATATTCAACTTCAGGCCTGACCCTGAGCACAAAAAGGTCACTTCTGAAGGGAACCACAGACAAAAACAAGGTCTTCCAATGCATTTTGGTGAGAATCAGAGCATTAGAGGTTTAGACCCTTTGATTAACATGGTCTCAGCTTTTGCTGGTTTGGAAACAGTAATACCAAGCAAACATCATGGTACACATCTCTGTTAGCCTCAGCTGTAATATTAATGTCCTGGAGCAAGGAGCAAAGTCAGAAGATGCTTTGAGCAATGGGTCAGGGCCCTGAGTGCACTAATGGGCCTTAATAGCCCTGACTAGCCTCACCTGGGGCCTCCACCTACACCCTCTCCCATGGGCCCAGCAGCTTTATTTAAGCTCAGTCACTGCCTGAGCTGTGTTGTAGCTGTGTCTGTTTCTAGTTTGGTCACAGCTGTGGATGCTGTTGATCTAGACTCTGACCTGTGGGACTGGCTTCTTGACCTTGGACCTGCCTGGTGATTGCTGGCTGCATCTGCCCCTGGTTATGGTTGTTGGACCTGACCTTGACCTCTGGATTGACTTTCTCGATTGGTCTCAGACCTGCCTCATCACCACAAACTTGCTTGGTCATCTGGGCTGATTCTGGCTGCCATCCCTGGGTTTGCCCTGCTTGTCTTGCTTGGGGGCTGCAGGATAGAGCCCTGGCTGGTAGGGCTCCTGCCCTGCTGTTCACGTTACCCTGTCTGGTTCCTTGTCCCTTAGAGAGCAGCTGCCCTGTCTGCATCCTGACCAATGTGGGTGGGGTCCCAGCATGGTTAGTTGTATTAGGAGGGTGTAGGAAGTTGCTCACATATGCTTTTCTTCTGTAACAAAGCTGTCTTATGAATTGTGTCCTCTTCTGCTATGTCAGCGCAGTTGTTTATGGAGCTGTGGTGGAAAGCTGGTAGTGATTTTTTTTTTTTAACACACCTGCAAAATAATGAAAAGAGAGGAGAATTCTGTCCAACCTTGACTGGGTTTACAGTGTTACCCCAAAACAGCTCCGTCAGTACAAACCAAGGGGTACTGACCCATTTAGAGGGGTGTAAGCAAGTGGCTGTGGAACAGGAATCCCTTAAGCTACCTTTTTCACAGATAGAAATGTGCATGGAGCTAACCAGCTAGGGAAGCTCTAAAGAAAAGATGAAAATCCTTTCTTTTGATGGCTGGGGGAGACAGGAGTCTAGAAGGCACTAGAGTCCCCAGGAGCAATTCTCATTGACCCAGCCAACACGTTCTGTCAGGGCTTTGCACATGAGCGTATCAAGGCTTGAGTAGGGGACAGCGTCCATGTGACAGGAGGGAGAAAGAGCCATGCACTCACCCTCCCAGCTCCATTTCCCTGTTCTTGCTACCCTGAGGTTCATCTCATCTCCTTTTAGAAGTTTCCTGCAGTGTAGGTATCTCGTAAGTTAATATCCCTCAGCATCCTTTATGTTCATGAGGAGGAGATATTTCTGTGTGGTCAGGTCTGTCCGTCTGTCTGCTCAGAGGAGGCAAGACAGCATACCTGCCAGGAGCAAGGACTTGGAGAGGAAGCTTGATATTCCTCCCTTGACTCTCTGCAACCACATGCAGCCCAGAACTGTCTGTAGGAAAACATGTCCCATGTTTCAGTGGGACAAGGACACAAGTATGTAACAGCAGGGAGGAAGCTGGGAGCTTTGCGCTTCTGTATGTTAAATCCTTTGCCACCTTGTCTTGTCCAAACCAAGGGGGAAAGCTAGAGTGGGTGCCAAGGAGCTTCTGTGCAGCCAGGTATGGAAGAAATCTCATCTCTGCAGGCATTTTTTGAGCTATGTAGCAGTAGTACTACTGCCCCACAACATGCAGAAGCTCCTTCTCCCTGGAACGTGTTCCTCCTTTTTAGTTATGGTACAAAATGTATACAAATGGGCCCCAAATGCCCTGAATCCATGGGTGTAATTTTTGATTCAAGTACAACTACAAATGCAGAGTTCTTGGTGGTAATGAAGGACTATACTGCAGTAGCTTGGTTTTTTTGGTTTGAATTTATCTTTGGTCTGGACTTGCTGGTTAGGGAAAGGTGGGAGATGGCACTTCAGAGACCTATCTGTTCCCAAGTCCAGCAGAGTTTGGGATGAGGATGACAGCTCTGGCCCAGCTGGTGGCATCCATGAGTGTCTTGAGGCAGTGTTGTGTGTCAAGGCAAGCTAATATCAAACAAAGTTGCATTGTATCACAAGGAGTGATAGGGAGAGAAGCAGATGCGGCAGTGAAGGAATGGAAAAAAGGAAGTGACCAAACAAGCGAGATAAAAAATAATGGCAGGGATGGACTTCCATGTGGGATTATTTAATAACAAGGTAATTAATGCTTTACACTTCACTGACTCCTTTCACGTAAGGATCACAAAATGCTTCACAAACATTAATTAATCTTCCCTAACATCCCTGCAGGGAAGGTCACTGAGCTACTGAGCGTAAGGGAAATCTTGTCATTAACAAAGGCGTTTGGTCTCCGGGTATGACAGATGCTTGGATGTGATGGCAGGAAGGGGAGAATTTCTTCTCCTTGTTGATGACTTCACATGATTTCCTGTAACTTCCTGAGAGAGAAAAATATCTTTGAGTTGTTGCGGGTATCTGGAGCTGGGCTAAGGTGGGCCTGAAAGATAATCCATGTGCAAATGGTTGACACTGCCTCACTCTTCAGGTTAGACTGCCCCCCACCATCCCTGAGGACACTGGGAAGGCAGGGCCCTGCCCTGATAACCCCAAGCATCAATGCCCATGCAAGGTTTGAGTAAACTTAAGGCATCCATGAATAGCAAATCTGTGACTGACCATCAGAAAAAACACCAGGGTGAAGTGAGAGATTTTCCAGCTCTTGGTCTCTTCAGATCAGAAATGAACAACTTTCGGGAAGTTACAATTTGCTCAAATGCAGGCTCTTGAAAGAAATGCTGTGAAGTCAGACTGAACACCAGCAGAGCTGTGAATAGAGGGTTGAGACTGTCTCCTAGGAGCTGCATGTATGGTACCTGAGGTGAGTGCTCTGGTACTATCGTGCCTCTACCACTGAAGCAGAGGTTGCTGTACTCCTGCATGCAGCAGGAGCCACTTCACGGCTCCAGAGTAGCCAGGAGATGGGGAGAGTCCCCATTCACTGGCATGCCAAATCTGTCTGTTGTATCCTGCAGACATCTGGTTCAGAGGCAATTTTCCCAAACTCCAGCAGGAGGTGCAATCTTGATCTCTTTTCAGGTCCAAGAGCTGCAGCTGGTCCTGAGAAAGGCAGTGTAAAGGACCTCAGGCTTCAAAGGGAGAAATTCACAATTATAGCTTAGATTTACTCCTACCAGAAATCATTGCCCTTCAGTTGGACTGATGGCATAATGAGATAGGAGAGAGTTTGACCCTTTTTTGCATAAAAAAGAAAAGTGTAAGAGGAAAGGCAATAAGACAAGATAACAGTATGAATGGGATGGGGCCAGTCAGTGCGTACAGGGTAATGTATAGAGGAAAAGTCTTTGCAATGCAGAAGCAAGATTAGGAACATCCGAAGGAAGAAATTTTATTTCTGGGACATACAAAAAGAAAAGTCATTTTTCAGGTAATAGGTGTTCAGCCTGACATCACCACTTCTGTAACGTTTAAATGGTTACTGAGGACTGCATGTCAGACTGCAGTAACTGTGGAGCATACAGATTTACATCTCTGGAGTAATAAAAGATCTCAGTTTGTCCTTAGAAGAAAAGTACCCCTTCCACCTCAGGTCCTGCCCTGGACCGATGAGGCTGCATTGTTAACATACTGGTAGGACTATGTTGTCGTTGCTCAGCACTGCAAATAACTTTGCTTCTCTTTTTTCCTAGATCTTGGTAGTGGTGCCAGCATGGCTGACCAGGAATTAGCCTCAGGCTACCTGAATGGAAAGAAGCCGCCACCAGGTCAATGTGCAACAAGTGATATTTTTTTCTTCTTTTTTTTTAGACACTTGGTTTATGGGAAAGCTGAAAGTGGGACGGGGATATGAGATGGGCAAGAAGTGAGTTCAGGCTGAAATGGTCTGGAAGGATGGACTATCAGTTGGGGAACATGACTGGGAGGTGCCTTGCTTGGCCATATCTGCACTGTGATAGCAAAAATGAAATTAGGGGAGGAACAACCAGCCTTAAATAATAACAAAAGCTATGCCTGGGGGAGTTATTGTTCATCAGGCCTGATTATGCCAATAGACCAAGCCCTAGCCCACATGATTAGCCTGAGGCTCAGAGGCAAATCATAGGGAGCAGTCCTACACATCTGGGAACTTCTGGCTACCTACCTGTTCTGTCCAGTCCATAATCTATCTGTCCCCACAGACCCTGCTCTGTCCTAGCTGTACCAGCCTGACCGCTGGCCGTTCCCAAGGTGTATGTGCGTTATGGAAAGCACATCACACCAGCAGTGGATCACCATAAGCTCGTAGCACCATTACTGGTCTGGTCCGTGTCCCTGGAAGCCAGAGGCTGATGGCAAGTGAGACCAAGGAGGTGATCACTTACCATGTGCTTTCTTTTCCAGCTTTCACCTGGGAGGTGAGGGCAAATGACCGAAACTACCACTTGCAGTTCAAGAAGAAATTTGCCTTCTGTCTGACCAAGAAGAAGTATGCGGTGAGTTAGCTTGTGCCAACCCTGTGCCTTTTCTTTTGCTGTCCACCCAGCCCCTGATATTCTGAGCTGGTTTTGGGAAGTGACATGACAGAGACTCACAGATTGATCTGCAGTAGGATGGAGAGTGCCATAAATAATCCAATATGAGGAGGAAAGGTCGTTTCCTGTTTTGTGATGCAGATGCTCTCTGGAGCTCTGAAATGAGGAATAGAATTCAATGAAGTGTGTTCTTTAGTTTGATGGTCAAATCAAAAGAAAGGTTTTTGAAAAAAAGTTTTAATTGAACAAAACCTGATTTTTTTTTTCATTTTCTCAGCTAAATAATGAGCATCTTGCTGAGGATCAGTTAAAAATGAAACAAAATATTTTGTTTCTGAACTTCTAAAACATTTCTAAGTTGTATAACCCTTTGCTCTTACAAATCTTTCTCTTATTCTTTCACTAAAACTTTAAAAGAAAAATCTCTCTTATGCCATGAGGAGCTGAAAAGGCCTCTTTTAAAAATAACAGAATGTTTCAGCATTTTCTAAACACATCCTTGATCTTGTGTGACTGAACTCTCACTTTGAGTTTGACCTGCATTTCTTCTGCAGGACAACGCCATTAAAACAGCCAAGTACAACATCTTGACCTTTCTGCCACTAAACCTCTATGAGCAGTTGCACCGAATGGCCAATGTTTACTTCCTCTTTGTCATCCTCTTACAGGTGAGATTGACACCAAGCTAGTTACACATGTGCGAGAGATATTTCCTTCTAGCAAAGGAAGCTTGTCTAGTGTTCAGAGTAGGGGACTGTCAGACAGGACACCTGGTTTCCCTCTCCATCTTCTAGATGACCACTGTGAGAACCTCAACAGGTTATTTCTCTTAGGCTTTCTATCTGGTTTGCTACAGCCCCAAAACTTGTGAGAAAACCCACTGGGACATCTATTTCATCACAAGAAACAATTCTTCTGTATGAAGACCAAAAAATAGTCTCTATGCCTCACAAGAAGCCACAGAAGTTGAGACAAAGTCATGCAACCCTTAATCTTTCGGGCATTTGTGGTAGGACTTTGAAGAGCAACTAAGGAGGTTAGGAGCACTGTTCCCAGGGAAAGCCAGTAGACCATAGACCTGTTAAAGCATGGAGACAAACTAGACACTGAAGGAATATCATTAAACAGGTACAAAGTTCTGTGGTTTCTCTGAGGGGTTTGCGCGACAGTAGTAACCTCATGAGTTGAAATTCTCCTCTGTGGTTAATTGAGTTCACATGTGAAATGCTCTTATTTTAGTATGTCTGATTTGCTTTACTACAGCTGAAGCTGGTTCTTTATTGACTGTGATGGTCTAAAATGGTGTCAAGGATACTGGTTTACATTGTGTTCATTGCCTTTCACAAACCCTTTGTGAGGGGTTTAACCTAGGCTTAGTTTGGTTATTGTAAATGATTGTGTTTGGATATAAACTAAGCTCACACAGACCACTCCTAAACAGAAATCCTAACCTACAAATTCAGGAATCCACATGTAGTTCACACATCCAGTTTAAAAAGAGATGGAAACTTAACAAAGCAGTTCTATGTAAACACAACTGTTGATGTGTCTTAGGTGCGGTGCAGCCAGAGTAGGGCACTGGCCTGGAAGGAGAGTTGGGAGTGAGGGAAGTTGTGTCTGAAGGTGGGATGAAAGTTGTGTCTGGTCCCTTACCCGTCACAGTGATTTTAAAATTCCCTTGCTGTCTCATTTCCTTTTCCAGACCTTTCCTGAAATCTCCACACTGCCTTGGTACACTTTGTTGTTCCCCCTGAGCTGCCTTCTCACCATCCGGGGCTTACGAGATCTTATTGATGACATTGTGAGTATGGGTTGGAGTTAAAGGTTGTGAGCTCTGGGTATAGATGCTGAGGGGGAAGGTGAATGCATGGGGCAGCTTATTACAGAGCCTTTGACTGAACTGAAAAGCTGAGAGATACTGACTGGCATTCATCATACTTGAGGTACCATCAGCTCTACTATGTCCAAAGCACTTTGTATTTTCCCTTTGAAGCAATGTGACCAGACAGTCTCTTCCCTTGGGGAGTGGAGCCCCATCTCGCTGTCATCTTTAATATCCTGACCAATGGATGTACTCCCAATTTGGTGCCCAGAAAATGCCTTGGGGGGGTTCTGACTGTTCATCAGAATGCATCTTCAGGTTGCTTCAGAAAGCAGATCTTGCCCTGGGGCTGACTCCAGAGAATTATGGCATTAACAGAATAAGGATGCCTGGCACGGTCCATCCATTTCCTTCGACATCTTTTTTTCCCTCTCCTCTGTACAGGGCCGTCACCAAAGTGACAGGAAGATCAACAACAGGCCATGTGAAATCCTGTCTGGGAAGAGGTGAGGGCATTTGGAAAGCTGTATCCACATTTTCCTGACTTGCTGTGAAGATGTGTGGAATGATGGACCTTATCTGAAGTGCTGAGCATCCCTGAGCACAGTAGTTGTGAGAAGGGTTTTGGTGTCACTACCCCTGACTCTGCAAACTCACATCTGCTCCCCAAATCTATTGCATGTCCCACTGTTTCCCTTCCAGGGATGATCTGGTCTCGCTCCCAGGCAACAGGTCTGAGAATCCCTGACTCCTTTTGTTATGCTGGGAGGAGGGTCTTCTGGGCACAGAAGTACCTCCAGGACTCCACCTCTGTCCCACAGAGCAACATTTCTGCTAACCCCTGATCTAGAGGAAGACTGGTCCAGGAAAGGACCAGCATTTCCTGCCTGGGGCCAGGTCACTGGTGACTGAAAGTCATTGCCAGCCATGGGTACATGGTATATGGATATGACAGGCTGATAGATCCTGTTCCATTCCCAGTGCTCAGCTGTCCATCAGTCATCTGGACAGCAGACCACCGTGATGGCACAGAAACAAAAGTCTGGAGGCCCCATTCATACAGGAAGCTGGGAAGAGGCAGGTTGGTCCAGAGGATAGATATAGTGTTTGCTTTGTCAGAGACCGTGTTCCTACTGCTCTGTGAGGATAAGACAGCCTTCAGGGCTGCAGCGTTCTTATCGGCCTCTAATTCTTCTGCAGCTTCCGCTGGCAGAAGTGGCGTGATATCCGTGTTGGAGATATTGTCCGTCTGCGCAAGGAAAACTTCGTCCCGGTGAGTCAGGCCCCGGTGTTGGGTGCATGTTGGGGATGATAGAGAAGAGTCTTAGCAAGGAGAGACTCAGTGAGGTGCTCTTTCTCTCCCCTTACTTTTCAAGGCTGACATGCTCTTGCTGTGCAGCTCGGAGCCCAGCAGCCTGTGCTATGTGGAGACAGCAGATATTGATGGGTGAGGAGAGATGCAGAGATGTGGTTGTTGCCATGGGGAAAGGAGTGGAGACATCCCAGCCAACAGCTGAAGCCTCTGATCTTGGGGGCCCCCCCAGCATTGGGGCTGGTTGTCAGGCATGGTGGAAGACCTGTGAGTTCAGTAGAAACTAAGAGATCGGGGGGCTCAGCATCTCTGAAAACCAAACCGACAAGACATTCCAGAAATGGGATTTGAGCCCCTAATTTTGAAAATAGGGGCCAAAAGACAATTGAGGCACTTGTTTTTGGCCTATCCATAGCTGGGGGACATCTCCAGCCCTTCCAAGAGCATCTGTGTGATGTCAGGCAAATCTCTTCATCTCATAATTCCCTATCAGTCAAAAGAAGGATAATAGCTGCCCAACCCTCCTGCCTCCTTCTGTAGGATTTATTTAATGATAAGGTCTCAGAGCCAAGGTTTTCTCTCTGTATGAATGCTCCATGCCTGGCATGATAGGCTTCTATCTTGTTTTCCATTGCCAAACATTACCATCACTCAGTCACCCGATAATTAGTGGCAGTCTCCATGCCATGGGTCTGATAGCAGAGTTAACAGCTCTGTCACCTCATGGGGTTGTTTCAGTTGTTATCCCCCCTCTTCCCTCCTCTCCTCTGTTCTTGTTTACAGAGAAACGAACCTGAAGTTCAGACAGGCCCTTCTGGTCACCCACCAGGAACTGGTGAGTGAGGAGAGCGTGGCTGCATTTGATGGTGAGTTTCTCAGATGAGCAAGGACGAAGCCTTCTCCCCTGGGATCAGGTCGGTTCAGCCCTGGCATGGGGGGAGTCTCCGCACTCTTTGCTCTATCCCCTCATATGCCAAGTATTCTTGCTCCAACAGGTGGTTGCACTTGTTCCTGCCTGCAAGGCTGGGAGGGTGGTTCATACTGAAGCACCCTGCTTGGAGGCCCTTCCCCAGCTGCGTGTCTCTCTGATGGGTCCCTCAGGGTTGCACACCTTCCCCGTAGACTCACAGAATGGTTCAAGTTGGAAGGGACCTCTGGAGATCATCTAGTCCAACCTCCCTGCTCAAGCAGGGTCCTCTAGAGCATATTTCCCAGGATCGCGTCCAGGCGGGTTTTGAATATCTCCAGCGAAGGAGACTCCACAGCCTCTCTGGGCAACCTGTGCCCGTGCTCCGTCACCCTCACACTCAAGAAGTTTTTCCTCATGTTCAGATGGAACTGCCTGTGTTTCAGTTTCTGCCCGTTGCCTCTCGTCCCGTCGCTGAGCACCACGGAGAAGAGTCTGGCCCCATCCTCTTGACACCCTCCCTTCAGATTTTTGTGTACATTGATGAGATCCCCTCTCAGTCTTCTCTTCTCCAGGCTCAACAGGCCCAGCTCTCGCAGCCTCTCTTCACAGCAGAGATGCGCCAGTCCCCTCCTCATCTTTGTAGCCCTCCGCTGGACTCTCTCCAGTAGGGCCATGCCTCTCTTGTACTGGGGAGCCCAGAATTGCACGCAGTACTCCAGATGTGGCCTCTCCAGGGCTGAGGAGAGGGGCAGGATCACCTCCCTCCACCTGCTGGCAACACAGGTTGCAGACCGTTGGCCCTTCTGGCCACAAGGGCACATTGTTGCCTCACGCTTCACTTCTTGTCCACCAGCACTCCCAGGTCCTTCTCTCCAGAGCTGCTTTCCAGCAGGTCAGTCCCCGACCTGTCCTGGTGCATGGGGTTATTCCTCCCTAGATGCAGGACCCTGCACTTGCCTTGGTTGAACTTCAGGAGGTTCCTCCCCGCCCCCTCCTGGTGCGTCAGCCACCCCTCCCAGCTCAGTATCATCAGCAAACTTGCTGAGGGTGCGCTCTGTCCCTTCATCCAGGTCACTGACGAAAAAGTTGAACAAGACTGGACCCAGTACCAACCCCTAGGGGACACAGCTAGCTACAGGCCTCCAACTAGACTCTGCACCGCTGATCATAACCCTCTGAGCTCTGCCATCTAGTCAGTTCTCAATCCTCGCGCCTTGGCTCTCATCTTTCCTGCTAGGATCTAGCACTTCCTCTGGGGTGGTTGGGTCTTTGGTCTCATCCCAGGAGCTCCCAGACTTGAACTTAGGTCCTGGATTTTTCCCCTTTGTCTGATCATCCATAGGATGTGAAGGATAGTGCTGAACCTCCTTCCCAGCACTCAGGTAGGCACACGATCTCAGCCTGGCCTTGCTTTGAGTCATCCTAGTCACAGCTGCCTCTGGAGATGCCCTGGTGAAATCTGAATTTCCCCCAAGAAGCCCTTGTCATCCCTCTCTGGAGAGGGCAGGTGTGGGAAAGAGGAACTATCTCATAGTTCTCCAGAAGCCAAAGCTTGAATTGTATCCTCTCTGCCCAAGGGAAAGTGACCTGCGAGGAGCCCAACAGCCGGATGCACAGCTTCACCGGCATGCTGGAGTGGAAGGGTGAGACATACTCGCTGGATAGCGAAAGGATCTTGTTGAGAGGCTGCAAGTTACGCAACACCGACGTTTGCTATGGCTTAGTTATCTATGCAGGTGAGTGCCCAGACTCTGCTTTGCCTCTGGGCCAAGATCAGGGAAGGCAGGATTCCCAGAGCTTTTAAGTCATCCAAGCACTACCAACATCAGCAGGTCTGATCCTCAGCTGATACAAAGTGAGAAGGACCTGCCACTGTAACCAAACCCCCAAAAATTGGTACTAAGGTTTGCTGGTGTCAGGCTCACTGTCAGGAAGACAAGCTGACTGAAGCAAACATCAATTTATTCCACATTATATTTCACCTGGATCAGATCCTGGATCCATTTTACCTTGTGGTGCCTTCACAGATGGGCCAGTACAGCTGAGAGCTTGGTGATGAGTAGCTGTGGGTAAGGGGAGGGATAAGATCTTAGGCTGGTGTAAGCAGCACTTCTGATTGTGCAACAACAGCTTGATTAACCATTGGAACCACTGGTCAAGAGATCTGGTGCTCTGAAGTCTTTAGAGGTGAGGAGATGTGGCTGTGGAGAAAAGAGCATCACTTAGCTGCAAGTCAACCTTCTCGGGGCTGCGGGCTTGTGTTTTCACTTCTAAAATGTCTCTTTTCCAGGATTTGATTCCAAAATTATGAGGAACTGTGGAAAGATCAAGTGGAAGAAAACCAAGTTGGACCACATGATGGACCGGCTGGTAATCATAGTGAGTGTGCTGCAAACACATCTCAAACAAGCCACGAGCATCCTGGGACTGCCCACACATTCTTTCATGAAATGCTGTTTCTTTCAAGTTTTTTTGAGCCTGAACCGTTTTGTTCAAAATATCTTGGTTTTAATGTGGTGCAGGTTAACTACCAAGTTATGTTCCCAGCAGCTGGCATTTGCTGGGTCTGGAGCAGTTTGTTCTGTGGTTGAGTTCCTGAAACCCAGGAGCCCTGGACCTTGTCAGCTCTGAATCCTCAGCTCTCTAGCAGTCCATTTAGCAGGCCTATCTCAAAACCAGGGACTTGGAGTATTCAGGATCCTAAACCCCAAGGCACTGTTTTGTGGCAGTACAACATCCTTGACTCGGGAGCTGGGACACTGGCTGATCAGGGGATACTTTGGCTATTTGAGGCCTAGAGGCTTAAGGTGGCTGCCATGCTCTGCTCCATGGTCAAGAGCCTGCAGGCAATGGGACCTTGGCACTTAGGTGAGGACCGATGCTCAAATCCACAGAAGAGAGGCTGGAAACCTTGAGCTGGAGGCAGGGAGTGAGGCTGGGGCTTTGGCTCCAGGTAGTGTTGAGTGAGCAGCTTGCATTTTCAGTGTTGGTACCAAAACCCATCATTCACTGTCTTCCCCACAGCCGCCTCTCCTGTCTGCTCTGCTCCAGGTCCTTGCTGAGCTGAAGGAGGAATGTGACTGCCAAAACAGTTCCTAAGGTCTTGTAAAGTGAAAATCTCCCTTCTGACCCCCTTGAATCCTCCTAACTGCAGGTCCTAGGATGTGGTCTGAGCTGAGAGACCTTTTTGTTCAGCACAGGGAGGACATGGGAGGGAGGAGCCTCTCATCTGTTTGAAGCAAAGTTCTTAGCAGCTGAGTATCATCACCTCACAAATAGGCCACTGGCACTGCTTTCCTCATTCAGGAAGGCTGCAGGGGTGCCCTTTGTGCAGGAAGATGGTGCCTGAGGCAATTAGCAAAGGTGGGAAAGTTGGGTTTCATTGTGAATGCTCTGTAGATGTGTAAAGCTGTAATCTTTGCTGTGTTCCTTCATCTCAGTGCAGGATAAGCTCCAACTTCTGTAGTTATCTCGAACCAGCTTCAGACACAGGGACACCTTTCCACAGGTTTACAGTTAAAAGAGAAAAACAGTGTGGAAGAGGCAATGGTTTGTCCTAGAGAAGAGGTTGGTGGATTCTGTGTGACGTGGCTTTCTCATCCTGGCTTCCCTTCTCAGATCTTCCTGGTGCTGTTGGTCATATCACTGTGCCTTGCTGTTGCCTCTGGATTCTGGGCAAGGAGGTTCCAGGAGAAGCACAGCTACCTCTCTGCTCTCTACAAGCACACAACTCCCGCCAAGCAGGCCTTCTTCAACTTCTGGGGCTTCACAGTTCTCCTGAGCATCATCATACCGATGTCCATGTATATAACGTAAGAACTCCAGAACTTGCAAATGCTCAGAAACTAGTACCATCATCCAGGCCCTTAGCCATCATCTGGCATCTTGGTTTGCAGCCATAAAATGGGACTGCACGAAAGATTCAGCTGTGACCCTGAGCAAATCATTTCTGCATGTTCCACTGACTGCAAGAATGTGAAGATGGGTGTGGTTTGAGCTTCTTACAAACATTAACAATGTGCTCTGAGATCTTCTCAGAAAAAAGCCAGAAAAGAGATGTAAGGGCAATTGTTGATGTTGGCAGTTGTGGGTAGGATGTGGATGACAAATTGATGAAGGTGGTATTTCTCCACTGAGCAGCAGCAGGAAGGGGAAGAGAAGGATGCAGCCGTTGATGGCATGCAGTTAATAATCATAATTTGTGCTCAAAGATACAATTTCAAAACTTTTAGGCCCTTCACTGAATCTCCAGATCTATGAAGTTTTTCATCAAGGGCCAGATTTCCAGAGGAGCTGAGATGCCAGGGACCCAAAGGGCTCCCAGTCTGGTGTGATGAGCCTTCTGGTAACCTGACCATGAACAATGAAAACTCTTTTGCTTCTTCCAAGCTCAGAGCACTAGGTTCAAGGTGGGGAGTTCCCCTCTGCCCTTTCTTCCCATATCAAAGCCCCAAGTCCCCCTGGGATGCGTGCAATGCAATCTCCTTCCCTGGTGTAAGTTTTCTTCCATCTGACTCCCTAGGTTTGAATTCATCTACCTGGTGAACAGCTTTTTTATCAACTGGGATTTGGAAATGTATTATGCTGTCAAGGACATACCAGCAAAAGCCAGAAGCACCAGCCTCAATGATCAGCTTGGCCAGATCGAATACATCTTCTCAGACAAGACTGGCACCCTGACACAAAACATCATGAGCTTTAAGAAATGCTGCATCAATGGGACAATCTATGGTAAGTACTGGTGGAAGCAAGTTTGTAGGGACTTATGAGTGAGGTAGACCTTGCATTTAGGGCATGGGGCTAAGTGCAAGGTACTTGAGTTCTTTCTACTCCTGACTTGCTAGGAAGCTGGGGGCATGTAAGTTATCTATGTGACAAACATCTGATGCTTAGGCAGAAGATGATACAGGAATTCAGCTAACTCCTGTGTTATCAGGCTGTCGATGCATTGTAGGGGCCTATGCACCTGAAGTCAAACGGATTTCGTGCTCTTAATGTGTGGATTCCTCACCCTCCCCTCCTGCAGCACATCATTTTCTGGGTTTCTGGTGAATCTCCAGCTTGATTTCCAAACATGGGCATTTTGAGGTGTTTTTGTTTCCCGCAAAAGTTTGGGAAATTGCAACTGAAACAGAAACGCTCTGTTCTGTTGAAAGGACCTTTACTTCAGTTCTCTCTCCTCACAAGTTCAATGCAGAGCAGCAGGGCTGAGAGGGGAGGAAAGAGAGAGGATACCTGCTTCCTCTTTAGCTTCCTTCTGGGCCCCTGCCGCTCTTCTGAGATATGTCAGAAAATATCAAACTGCCTCCCCCCGCTAGACTACAGCCTCTCATCTTAAAGGTGAACTGTGGAGGAAGCAAAGAAATTACATTGTTCCTTTTATGTTGCTTCTTTATGGTGAAGGCAAGTAACACTCTTTTTGTTGTTATTTTTCTGCTTGTTTTTCCCCTTAGAAACCTGAGAATTGCCAAGTCTTTCTTCCTCTCTTACTGTTACGCTTGGTGGTGTTGGCTGACTTTTGGGAGCTGTCTCAGTGCTTAATTAGTGAACTTTATAGAGCAGGTAGGGCCAGAGGTTTAGCATGAAGCTCCTTTCCCCTGAAATATTTATCAGGCACTTGAGTCAAAGGGATGGTGATAAAAGCAAACAGGAGCAAAAAAAAAAAAAGTTTTAAGGAAGACATAAACCAATTTCTTCCTGTCTGATCTATCATGGTGCATCTCTGCGTTAGTAACATTGCCGTAATCCTGCCAATCTTCAGCCAACTGTAGAGTATCCCTAGAAAGGCAGATGAGAGCCAGACCTGAATTGTTAACATTAAAGACGTGTAGAAAGCATGAACAGTTGCTGAGCCAATAAAACACTTGCATTTGTCCTTCACAAAGAAACAAATAAATGACCAACAAATAAATGGCCTTAAGAGTCCTGGGCTATGTCCTGGCAGCCCTTGGACCGTTCTGTCTCTCCACCCGTGAGGCAGAGCCTCAGCAGGGACTGAGATCCCCTCAAAACCCTGAGACAGAAGGGAGAAACAGAAGCATGTAGTTAATCCACAGATTGTTCTATTTAATTAAGGCCAACTTTTGAAAAAGTGAATAGGGATTTGGGGGAGCCAGGTCAAACCCAGACATCCTAATGGAGCCTGGCTCACAAGGGAAAAACACTGAGCAGATGTTGAAAACATGTCCCTTTTTACACGTTTCTTGTTGGTCAGCAAAAGAATCAGATCCTTCTAGAAAATTTGGTCAAAGCCCCTGCTAGTAATGTTCCCTGCCAGCTCTGTATTGATTGAATTATTTTTATTTTGGCAGGTATGAGCACAGGCCATGAGAACAAACAGCCGTCGGTGCGTAATTTCCCTCACTGTCCCATGTAACACAGGGTCAGATGTTGCTCCTCACTGGGGGCAAAACCGTAAAAGCTCTTGATTCTGATGGGAACAGGATCAGCCTTTTGTTTTGTAGCACATCTGTCTTGCAATTTGGGTACCATCTTGTGAGAAAGAGGCATGTGACTCCTTGGGGTGGAGAGTTTGGTGGTTCTCAACTGCTGGGTGTGTGGTTAAGTACAAGGGAAACATGGTTATAAAATACTGCAGTTCTGATTTTTCCAGCCTTTTTATACCCAACCCCTTGGCATAAGCAATGGAAAGCGAGGTTTATGGACCGTGGTTCTGATCTCCTCATGCTGGTGTGAATAAAGAGCAAGTCCACTGGCATTAGACCCAGGGGAAAGGAGAGAGGGGACACACCAGGATTGCACAGATTTCACTGATGAAGTGAATCAGCCAAAAGTGTGCACTGTTACTTGTGGTCTCTCACCCCAGGGTTTGACTCTGATCTGCCTTGGCTCAGCTCTAAAGCAGTCATAGCACAGGTCAACACATGATCTGATCATTCTACTGGAGCCTAACAAAATCGTGCTGGAGAGCTGTACTGGCAGGCCCCCATGCTCGGTTTCTCGGGTGCCAGTAGCCTGTCTGCACCTTTTGCAGGGATCAGGGCCGACCTGGAGCCACCATGCAGACAAGAAGTTGGAGTTTTATGACCCCATGCTGCTGGAAGCTGTCCAGCAGGACACCGACCCTGTGCTCAGGGAGTTCCTGAGGCTGCTAGCCCTCTGCCACACCGTCATGGTAGAGGAGAGCGACAGTGAGTGGGCTCTAGTGTCGACTGTGTGTTCCCGCACCCATGTTCTGAGCAGGGTGAAGTCCCCCAGGTAGTTCAGGGCACTGAGGCTGTGATGGCTTTTCCACTCACCAGTAAAGCTCTGGTTTAGGCAGAGTAGGCTGCGTAAGAACCCAGTGATGCTTGGGCTAGTGTCCTAGCAATAGCCTCTGGCCCTGACGTATACATTTGGGTTTGTTTTAAAACCAATGAGTTGGGGAACACAGGGGTGATAATTCATCTCTGGGCATTTATCCTGTTCAGGATGATGAGCAGAAAAAATAAGACAATTGGGACCGAGTTTCCATAGCCTACCGGCTTGGACTTTAGGGTCCCTATAGGAAGTGTTTGTGCTGGGCAAGCATGGGGAATCTCAGAGGCATAAGAGGTGCTTGGCTGGAGTGGGAATCTCCTTGCCTACCCCATCCTACTCTCTACTCCTTTTCTGCAGACCAGCTGGTTTATCAGGCAGCCTCACCCGATGAAGAAGCACTGGTGTTGGCAGCCAGGAACTTGGGGTACGTCTTTCTGGCCCGAACACAAGACACTATCACTGTCAGCGAGCTGGGGGTGAAGAGGACATACAAAGTGCTGGCCATGCTGGACTTCAACAGTGATCGCAAGAGGATGTCAGTCCTGGGTTAGTGGGATGGGGTGTCTCAGGGACTCCTTCCAGGACCACAAAGGGTCCCTTCTGTTCTCAGTCCTACAAGGGATGGCACTGGGATGGGTGCAATTGATTGCTGCTGGCACAGGGACTCTTAAGAATTGTCCTGGTCATCTTTGTGGTTCTGTTTGCCCTGATACTTTGGTGAAGGCAGCCAAGAAGGTTTTTGCCCCACAAAGAAGAGAGGATGTAAAGCAGGGGCTCAGAGGAGGTATGCGAGGAACTGACAGTCCAGGAGGCCTGACCTTCCCTCATGGTAATGTGTGTAGATCAGGGGTGACCTGTGGGATCTGCTATGACCAGCTCCATAACCAGTCCCTGCTGCAGAAGAACATCAGGTGTTATCTGTGGTGTCTCCCATAGCACAGTCATGTTGGCCTGTCTCCCTGAGCTCCCAGTTTCCTGCTGCTGGGATGGCTACGAGTGAGGGGCAGCTCTCTGGGTGCCTAAGTGTTGTCCTTCCCCTTCCAGTGCGAGACCCTGAGGGGACAATCCGGCTCTACACCAAGGGGGCTGACACAGTGATCCTGGCAAGGCTGCACAGGCGAGGGCCCAATGAGACCTTCACTGAGACAGCACTGGACGTGAGTTCTGTACCGGCCTGAGGTGGAAAGGGCTGGTCTCCCGCTTGCTGGCTTTGGGCTGGATGCCTTGAAGCCACTGCTATTCTCTCCCCCTCTGCCTTCAGGATTCTTTCTTCCTTCTGTCCTAGGAGCCTTGTCTGCCTGTCGGATGGGGTTAAGAGGGTATCAAATCCACCCTCAGTCCTCTGTGTGGGCTGATTGCATCCCAGGGCTACTACTGGGGATGCTGTAGGCTGGGGAGATAGTCGTAGCCCAGAGGAGATGCTAAAATCCTGCAGGGCCTGTGGCTCTGCATGTGGGAGCATTGTGGCTGCCTGGCACAATGCCCCTGTCCAGCATGAGAGCTATCCTGGCCAAAGGAAGGGAGACCTGATCCAGTGGCTGTCTCATCTCTGCAGCGCTTCGCCGCGGAGACCTTGAGGACTTTATGTCTGGCCAGCAAGGTGGTGAATGAAGCTGACTACAGCAAGTGGAGCAGGAGGTACCATGAAGCCAGTGTCCTGCTGCAGGACCGTGCGCGGGAGCTTGACAAGCTGTATGAGGAGATGGAGCAAAATTTGCAGGTGGGCTGATGCTGGGGGGGGTTAGGAGGAACTGTCTGTGTAGGTCCCTACTGGTTCCATGGAGGGTAGGAGTGCTGGGTTCAGTTCCCCAGGGCGAGGAGGAAAAGTGTCTGACACAACACCCATCTGCAGAGGGAGAGAGTGGGCTGAGATCACCCGCATGGATGATTTTGTGACGTTCCAGTAGACGCTGAGCTAGAGATCTGTCAGGTTATGTCCTGCAGGGACACCCATGGGAAGAGGATGGAGTCTGTAGGGACACAGAATCCCTAAGTGGATCCAGGGGCAATTCCCAACTCTATCTTGCCCCTGCCATCCTGCCCCACACTGTGACACTGACTCACTCTCCTTGCAGCTGCTTGGGGCCACGGCCATTGAAGATAAGTTGCAAGATGGAGTCCCTGAGACCATCCAGCTGCTGAAACTGGGCAATATAAAAGTTTGGGTGCTGACAGGCGATAAACAAGGTCAGTGGAGGCAGCTCCAGACCCTACCAACACATTTTGGGTTTTCTCTAATAAGGGCCAGAGAAGAGAAGAGACTCTGGGAGAGAGAGGACAGCAAAGAGGCTCTGCTGGTACCTTTCATATACGATAATAGCACATCCTACGGATCATGTCACCAATGGGGAAACTGAGGAAGGGGAAGCCATTTGCATGATGGCATAGGGCAAGAGCTAGAATAAAATCCTTGGCTCCTGCTGTCTGCCCTAGGACTGTTCTGCCTGGCTTGAGGCAGGACTTGAGGGCTGCCTGGGCATGGAGGTGACAGCACTGTGCAGCCATTGGCCTCTGATACATGTGTGTTGCAGAGACTGCAATGAATGTTGGCTATGCATGTAAGCTGCTCACGGATGACATGGAGGTCCTGGAGGAGAAGAAGATAAGGTGAGAAATTGCGAGCTCCTGGTTCAGGACAATCTCCCACTAGGCAGGGAAGGAGGTTACTCCTATTGAAGGAGACACCTGAGGGTGTATGAGTGTGGGCAGAGAGCCAAACTGCCAGAGATGCTTCTCCTTCTGTGTCCAAGCCCGGATTTCCATCTCCCTCATCATCTTCTGATGCTCTTCCCGGCCTCGCTGCTCTGTGCTGGCCACTACAACTCTCTTCTCCTTGGCAGAAAGTGCTTAACACAGCTCTCCAGCCTCCTAGCCACATGAAACTTTGTTCTCAGGCCTGCCTGGATGGGGGCTGATTTCTGATATCTGTGAACTCTTGTGGCATCCTGTCTCTCCCTCCTGTTCCCACCACTGGGTGCTGGTCCCAGGTCCCCGGACCTGGCTTTGAGGTGGCAGAGGCCATCAGTAGGTTCCAATCAAAGTCACAAAGCATGTACAGTGTTCCCAGCATGCTGGCTCAGCTCTGCCTGTCCCTTCCCTGCACAGTGAAATCCTCGAGGCCTGCTGGGTGAGCCACAACAATGTGAGCAGCAGTGAGGAAGCCTTGTACAGCAGCTGCTTCTTCCAGCAGTGCCCAGAGGCCTTGCGCCATAAGAAGAGAGCTCTCATAGTCAATGGGGACTTCCTGGTAAGGCAGTGCTTCGCTGCTCCCCTCTCTGCTCCCTGCCTGTGCTACCGGACACTGTTTGTCACTGTTTGTCTCCGAGATGGATGTGCCCCAGTGCTATCAAACACAGCGCCTCCTGGGTGCTGGGAAGAGATTGCACCAGTTTGGTTACTGGTATTCTACAGCGACCCCCAACATCATTCTGCCTTTTGCTAAAGTGTAGCCACCTCTGGGGTAGACCATGGCAGTTGTGTTTCAGGGCATGGGGCTGCTACCCAGTATATAAGGGAGGCAGTGAAAGGGCCTTTCTACCCTCTGAGGTGACACACGGAAGCAGAAAGTAGTTATCTGACAACTTTAATAGGGAGTCACTAAGAGATGGCTGAGGTGGCACCAAGACTCAGAGTAGCTGATACCCTTCTGCCCCAAGGGGTGAGAAAAGCCACCTGGTCAGCAGTTTGGGCTGGGGAGCAAGCAGTGAAAGGTGTTGGGGGCTTTAACCACACCGATGCAGGCTGGCAAGTAGTTGCTTAATAAATCCATGCGCTCTTCTGGTCACACTGGGACAGTCTGGTGTCATGGGTAGAGTGCCACTGTCACAGTCCCTGCTATCTGATGAACTTGGAGCAAACTGGAGTCACTTTTTATAGTACCTATGAGATTTAAGAGCATAATCAAGGAGTCAGGGTCCTTGTGCTATAAAATCCCTGAAGGTCTTTGGAAAATACAGACCTTAAATGTTATCATCCTCCCTCCTTGCTCAAGATTGCAGCACAAGTGCTTGGGAGCTAAGAACAGCCCCATCCCTTCTTGCTAGCCCTGGACATGTGACTAGCCCCTCTCTTCTTTGGCTAGCTGTGGGGTGAATCACTAACCTGGGGTGTGCTCTCTCCTAAGGACAAAATCCTCCACACGGGAGAAGAGCTGAAGAAGAGGACAGAGTGGCTGGGGCAGCGGCTGGCATGCTGCAAGGCTGTGGGCTCGCAGAAGCAGGGCAGCCTGGTGGAGAAGGCGTTCGTGGAGTTGGCCACCAGCTGCCAGGCTGTGATCTGCTGCAGGGTGACCCCCAAGCAGAAATCACTCGTTGTGCAGCTAGTGAAGAAGTACAAGAACGCCATCACGCTGGCCATCGGCGATGGGGCCAACGATGTCAACATGATCAAAAGTGAGCCTTGGGGTAGCGGGGTGGGTTTCAGCCAGGACCTTCTGGTAGGAAGGCTGTGCTTTTATCACACCCAACCATGCCTCCTTTGCCTGGCTTGTTGCTCCCAGGGCCATGCCCCATTGCATTTTCCTTTGCCCATCACTCCTGGATTCACCCTCTGCCCATCAGCCTTGAGGCAGAGCCATCTCCTGTAGCAATGGGGAAGCCAAACACTGTGAGGCCTGAAACACCCTGAAATCCCCCCACCTGCATTTCATGTCCTCCCTTTGTCCCCAGCTGCTGACATTGGGGTTGGCATCAGTGGGCTGGAGGGCATGCAGGCCGTGCAGTGCAGCGACTATGCCCTGGCGCAGTTCCGCTACCTCCAGCGCCTTCTGCTTGTCCACGGCCGCTGGGCCTACCTCCGGATCTGCAAGTTCCTCCGCTACTTCTTCTACAAGACCTTTGCTGGCCTCATGGCCCAGGTCTGGTTTGCTTTTCACAGTGGATTTACAGCTCAGGTAAGGGCTGCTGCTGTCGTGCTGGGACTGTGTCAACAGGGCACGTGGTCTGAATCAGGGCTCCTGATTTTTGGGGCTGCCTGGCTGAGACTCAGCAGGTTATTTGCATTTGTCCTGGCTGGATCCCTCTGTGACTGGCTGAGAAAAGCAACCAGGGGAGCTTTGAGGGTGTCCTTGTAGGCACTGACAGTCCTTGTGAGCAGCAGCTGAGCCTCAGACAGAGGCAGGGAAAGCTCCCAGTTACATTAAGCTGGTTTCATAAATGATGGGAGCTTTTACCCAGGCTGAAGGCCATCAATGTGACTTGGTCACCGTTGTGTGGCTCCACAGCTTCCTGCTCTGTTTGCAGCATGGCCCAATGAGCCTGGAGAGCACTGCAGATAAGCTGGAGCTGCTGCAGAGCCCGTGGCCTGTTTCTCCAGGCTTTGGATCACAGTCTTCTAGACTTGTACGCCCCTGGTGCCTGGTATCCTCTCTGAGTCTTTCTAAAGCGTTACTGAGCTCACAGCCACTTTCTTCTCCCTTTTAGCCTTTGTACGAGGGCTGGTTCCTTGCACTCTATAACGTGTTCTACACCGCCTACCCTGTGCTTTCCATGGGCCTTCTGGAGCAGGTACTGTTTCACCAGGCAACGTCCAGGCCCTGTGGCCTGGAAGCTGGATACTCAGTATGCATAAATGAGCCCAGTAGTCATTGCACCCTGTCTCCATCTGTATGGCTCTTTGTGCACTGCTGGGACATGATAGTAGGTGCTTGATGGGCATTTGGAGCTCAGCCTCACTTAGCATCCCAAGGGGCTACTTACAGAACTGGTACTGTGGTGCCTCGGTTCCGTATCCCACCTACCCCCACCCCCCCCGCCCCAAGCAAGCGGATGGAGGTCAGACTCATCTCAGTGCTCACAGAGGGTACATCAGATGAGATGGCCCAATGTCCCTGGTGTGGGTGGGAAGGTTGATGCTTAGTGTCCTCCCTCCCTGCAGGATGTAAGTGCCAAGAAGAGTCTGGAGTTCCCTGAACTTTATGTGATTGGGCAGCGAGATGAGCTCTTCAACTACCGCGTTTTTGGCGTGACCCTCCTGCATGGTATCAGCACCTCACTCGCCAGCTTCTACATTGCACTCTGGGCCTTTGAGGACCGAGTCGGCAGTAAGGTTGTCGGGGACTATGAGTCCTTTGCCATCACTGTTGCCACATCAGCTTTTCTGTCGGTCATCGTGGAGGTAAGCACAGGTCTGCCCCACGCTGGCCCAGGAGACAGGCCCACGATGCCTGAGCCAGGGTGATGGCAGAGCCAGGGTGGCACCGGAGGTTGCAAGGAAGGACAATGAATTAAAAGGCCATGCTGGGTCAAACAGCGTACAGGGTTGTAGGGCAGAGACGGACCCGAGGCACATAGTGTTGCACTGCCAGGCACCTGGGGAACAGAAACTTCAGCCCTAGCATCCATCCTATGCACCTTCTCCTTTCCTTGCAAGATGTAGCTCATCATGCCCAGCCTCTGGCTCTCAGGATAGTGGTGTTGCAAGGAAAGTACAGGGGATTTGGAGTGGAGAGTGTAAGAAGATGGGCCCTTCTCTGCACTGTGGCAAGTGCTGTGCTGGCCTCCCTGCTCCCTGCCAGAGTTTGGTGCAGATGTTTAGGGACCACAGCTGAGCTCAGCCCTGGGCTCTCTGACCTGATTCACAGCCAGCTTCATTGCTGGGCGACGATCCTTCATTATGGGGTGTGAACTTGGGGCTCCCTTGAAGAATGAGTGGCCAAGTAGAATGGGGCTCCCCATTCCTGACAGTCTTGACAGGGCTCTGTGTGCGCTGTTGTTGCCTGCACAGATCATCATGGACACAAAGTTCTGGACCGTGTTGTCCTTCCTGATGGTCACAGCCAGCCTACTGCTCTTCTGTCTCTTCTCCTTCCTGACCCAAAGCATCAATGCCTTCAAAATAGCCCCTGCCATCTTCCGCTTTCCAGGTAAGATGCCCCAGGGATCCCTGCAGTCCTTCCTCTCCTAAAACAAGGGAGCCCAGGCTGTGTTCAGTGCTAGAAGCTGTTTTCCACCCTGTAGATCATGTTTTCTCCTGGGCCTTGGCCAGAGCCTGTCTCCTGGCCCAGCCCAGCCCGCTTGATCGTCCTGTCCCTTGCACTAGCCCTCAGCTGCTGTTCAGCCCTGAGGGCTCTGCTAGGGGACAGACATGCCACTTCTTGATCTTGCTGGCTTAATCTTGATCTTGACTCCAACTTAAGTGCCATCTCCTGTTTAGACCCCTCAACACCTTTGTGGGTCTGGGTCTGCACCCTCACAGTTGTTCTTTTTCTTTTTTGCCCTTGCTGGGCACTTCTCCTGCTTGAATCTCACTTGATGGTGACTCGTGCATTAACAGATGCCAGCAAGAATGCCCTGACCGACCCGTACATTCTGCTCATCATCCTGCTGTCCTTGGTAGTGAACACCATCCCCTCACTCACCATCCGCTTATACCGCACCATCATGGGCAAAACCACCATTCAGCAGGTGAGGGCTTATGAAAGGAAGGATCTGCCTGCCTTCCAGGTACACAGGGCTGGGATTGCCTTGCCTGCCTCTGTATCCGGGTCTGGGGACAGCCAGGAGATTTGCTTGTAATGGGAATGGTGAGATTCCCCAGGCAAGCCACTGCCTGGAAATTGGGATAGGCCTTGTGGCCTCTCCTCATTGGCACTGCTCTTGTGACATGGCCCCAGGGGTAGGAGACCTGCCAGTTCTGGATAGGATCTGCTCTCAGCTGCAGGAAGGAATTGGCCTCCAAGGCTTACTGAACCTGGCAGTTAGGAGGCAGCAGGGTCTGGTGCAGGTCTCTCTACCAAAGCCAGGGGCTGGTACTGTTCATGCCGCTATATGCAGTGGGTCACTGCAATCACATAGGAGCTTTGGTTTCCCTGTAGCTGCAGACATTCTTATCAGTGGAGAAATAAAGCCCTTGATTTTATCATACCTATTTCAGTGGTACAGAGAGGTCCCAGATGAGATCAGGATTGAGAATCCCAATCTCTAAGAGCTTCCAAGACGCCCAAGAGGGTCCCCATGTTATAGGTCACATCCCAGGGGCTCGGGCCATGGTGGAGCTGGAAGCCAAACTGCGTCTTGGTGAAAGCTCTCTCTTGCTCTCTTTGCATGCTGTCCCCCCTTGAGGCAGAGACTTGCCTGGGAGGCAGCTGCAGCCCTGATGTACCCCATCTCCTTGCAGAAGATCCGCTTGAAGACCAAGTGGGAGCCAGAGCCCTCAGTGGAGCTGCGTGCCCACATCCGCCGCAGCTCCTTCTGCCACCGTTCCAGCTACGCCTTCTCCCACCAGGAGGGCTATGCAGGTCTCATCACCCGAGGGGACAGCCTGCGCATGAAGGGCACACACAGCGCTGTCTTGAGTCTCCTTTGCCAAGAAACAATCCCTACTTCATCCTCCCTCCATGTGCCCTCCGCATAGCCAGTATGGCTGGGTTCACGATGGCCCCTGCTTAGGGCAGTGGAGTTTACTGTCCTTGGACACCAGCAAGGCACAGAACTAGCTGGATACCTCCTTCTCCAGGCATTTTTATTTCATCTTATTGGACTTTTTTAGGCTGCTGGAAAAGTGCCCGGTCACCTATCTCTTGAGAGAGCAACACCTCTGCCTGACAGCACAGCGTTATGGCCACGTGGGCAGCCCCTATGGCTGGAGAGAGGCTGGCTCAGCCCAGAGAACTGATTCTCCCAGGCACTGAGCCATGGGATGTGTCTGACTGTGCTCAGAGTGGCTCCATTTCTTGTGTGTGGTGTGCAGACCCTGTCGACTTTGCAGGAGCCATACAGCCATGGAAAGTGTCTCCTCCTAGCCAGAGGGTCTCAGGGCCTCGAACAGCACAGCAAGGACAGTTTCTTCCTTGCCACTGGTTGCTCTCTCCCTCACTCCAGGATGTCAATCTGCAGAAGATTAATTAAGTGGCTGATCTCGATTATTTTTATGTGACTGCAAGGATCATAGATCAGATCCAGCTGCCTTCCCGGCATGCTGGGCCAACTCCATTGCCTGCTTCCTCTGTGCGTCTTCCTTCATCACTGTTTCTCATCTTGCTCTTCATGTCCTTCTGCTGATTTGCCGCAGCGGATCGCTCTGGGTGGTCAATAATCCTGTGAAATGCTCCCCCAGCTGTAGACATTTGGGCCAGGTGCTGGATGGTAACTTGGTTTTGGAGGGAATCCATTCAACATACACGAAGGACAGAAGTGGGGACGGAAGGGGGAAGTGATTTGCTATACTTCAGTGCAGGTTTTGCACACACCTCATCTGCCAGATTGCACTTTATTAGCATCATTTAAAAAAATTCCCTCTTCTCTGGAGTGAATTCCTGAGTGCATTAAATGTTTCTCTGTCTTCTCCCAGAGAGTTTCCTAAGAATCAGTGTACTGTCCTGTTGGGCTTAAAAAACAAACAAACGAAAAAAAAAACCTCAGTGGTTTACGGGTGTAATGCTTTACAAATCTGTTCTGAGCTTCTCTCCTGTAAATCTCTGCTATGTGGAGCTAGCGACACCAGCTAACTTTCCATGAAGAAAGGTGGAAAAAAAGGGGCTGCCGGTGTCCCCACATCTCTGTTCCCTTGGTATGTACAACTGGTTCTTTATAACCTGACAGTGCTTTTGCCCCAGTAAAACGCATGGTAGAAAGAGGCATTCAGGTAAAAAGAAAATCAGCTGGCTGGGTCTGGGCCTCCCCACAGCACCCAAGACTTGATGTGACTTTTAATAAGTGCTTTAGGCTCATCTGCACTGAATTTGTGAGAATTAGTGTTTTCTTTGAGCCCTTTCCAGAAGACTGCTGGACTGTGCCAAGAAAGGAATAAATGTATCCGAGGAATAAATGTATCCCTGTGTCCTGGGGGAAGCTCTCATCCATGCAGATACAAGGTAGAAAATGCGGGAGAGAAACCTTTCCCATCCAGCTGGGATGATCCCCAAATCGGCATCCCGGTGCTCTCAAGCCTGGTAAAGAGTTGGTGCTGCCCAAGCAGGGAGAGTAGTTGAGATAGATAGATAAAATTGGGCTCGATTTGGGCTCTCTGGGTCCAACCCACAGTTCCTCACCCAAATCACCCCTACTCCTCCCCAAGCATGTTATGGGAGAACAGAGTGGAGTCAGGAGGGAACTGACCCACGTTTCCCTGCCCAAGGGCAATGAAAATTGCAAAAAGCTCACCAGAGAGGCAGAAAAATACCCTTGTGCACAAATTATTAAAAGCAACCATGACTTCAGACCCCTGCTTGTCTCTGCAGCTGGAGTACTTTTTAAGCAAGGGCACTTTGCAGACAAGCATCTGTATGTATCCAGGTGTGTGTGATAGGTGAATACAATACCTCTATGGTGTACAGGATATATATATAATAGGGATATGTGACTACAATACCTTTGTGGTATATAGGATATATATACCTGGGGCCATGGGTGCAGCCTCAGCTCTCGGCAGCATGACGAAAGGCCCCACCGACCTGCACCAGCGCGTGGGACACACACACTCCAGGGTGAATGACTAGAAAATAATTTATTGAAGAAACTAAAAGCTGCAGAAACTTACAACACAGTCATGACCAGTAAAGGATGAACAAATAGAGGGTTGTTTTTTTCTTTTAAAACCTGTTGACAGGCTGGAGTTAAGTTTCCTGGTAACTTCCCCTGCGTGAGTCATTGCAAAGAACAAGGACCAAACTCCAGAGCACACAGCACAGTTTGGATAAAGTGCCTGACACATAAGACTTTTTTTTTTGTTACCATTTGTAAATAGCTTAAACAAATATAATTGCAAGACACAGAGGAGTAATAATTGCATTTCGCTGTAGAGCAAAACCTATCCCATGAGATTAACAATGAAGCAGCAGCAAAAAAATAATAATAATTTAATTAGAAAGAAAAAGGTCATTTAAAAACTCAGATGCAGCCCTCGGCCAGCCAAACTGTGTGGGACGAGGGTGAGCGTTGCCTATTGCTATACCGAAAAATGAGCAATATTTTTCTTGAGGTGGTTGGACTGGCAAACCTCATGCTGTGGGTTCTTTCTGGCCAGGATTAATTCTGTTTGTTTTCTTCTTCTTTTTTTTTTTTTTTTTGTCTTTACAAATTTCAGAGGGAAAAAGAACTGACTTTTTTTATTTGCGATTTTAATTGCTTTACTTAAAAAACCCAAACAAATACATAGGTAAGAGAATTCTGTGCAGCAGAGTGTGTACGGCCAGCCTGATGCTTGGCTCTTGGAGCTTCCTTGGCTGCTTGTGTCCTATGAGACAAGGGAAAAGGAGTGACTCTGAGGTCGGCGGACGTGGTGACGACTTGGTCCAGCCTATGTGGTGCTGGCCCAGCCCAGCTGCATCTTTGCAGTGCCTGAAGCAACAAACTGGGTTAGGGAGAGATATAATAAGCCAGGGAGGATCTGATCCTCTCTCTCCTCCCTTCCCCACCCAGAACTTACTCTGTTGTAAAATCAGCTTTAATTAACTGCGTATAAACCTTTATCTATGGCTGTATCCACTGCGTTCAAGCAGGTTGGCTGCTTTGGTTGCACTGCCAGCCTCCTGAAGCTAATTAAATGGAGATGAATGGGATTTGAAGGATCGAACACAATGGGTTTGTACACCTTGGACCAAGCTGGTTTTGTTCTTCCACACGGCACGACAGTGGTGGCCCTGGGCTAGCGCAGGAGGGAGGAGGTATGGTCGGCCACCTGAGCCATGCAAGGCTCAAGGAGTCCTGTGCCACGGCTTGGAGATTTGCGCTGCTCTCCCAGCACTTGCTCAGAAACCTTTCCCCCAACATCCAGCCCGTAGTGGGTCTTCCAGTGCTGTCTCAGACCCTGGGGTTCAAGACATTTGGGAAATCAGCCCGTGACACCAAGCCTCATCTCAGGGGATGGGGCAGCTGTTGAATGATCCAGCTCTGCCTCTGTAGGCTAGGTGCTGCTGACAGCATGTTGCCTCCATCAACCTCTTTGCCTCCTCTGCTTGCTTGAGTAGAAATGACCTAGTTCTAGGCGCATCCATGGGCTTCAGCTCCTTTCAGACAAGTGAGCTGGTGCAAGAAAAAAAAAGAAAACCCTCACCCTGATCCTTCCTGTCCCTGCAGTGTGCCTGGTTTAGCAGAAGACATGCAAGACCCTGGGCCAGTCAGTACCGAAGTCACATCAAGGGAAACAGAGCAATAAAAACTCAACTGGATGCTTTATAATGGAGCAACGCTGCCTATGGTCCAGTTTCAAACCTCCATGGTTTTTCCTTGAGCCCTTCATTACTTCTACTCTCTCAGCATGGCCAAAAACAGCACTTTCCTGCTAAGTATTTTGTTTTTCAACATGTACAAAAGCCATCAACTAAAAACTTTGACCAAAGAGGAAAAATAGACTGATCAAAGCTAGAAACAGAGTTTAGGAGGTTTTCACAAGTAGCAAAACGACCAAAATCTCTGAAATCTTCCACAGTTGAAAAATGACATGGTGGCTAGACTAAACTAGCAGGTCTCCAGC